TCGTCGACTGAGCTTCTACCTTGCGTCTCCCCGTGGCCTGACTTTCACCGGTACGCCAGGCTCGTCGCGCTGTATAACAAACGAGTCCTAACATACGACCACGACGTCCACGATGCTTTCGCTGGGGTCCTATCCGCATTTGGTCAATCATTTCCCGGCGGTTTTATCTGTGGCCTGCCTCGCATCTTCTTCGACGCCGCGCTGCTATGGCAGCCTTACGACCCTTTAGTCCGTCGCACTAGCCATCTCTCCTCCGCTCTACCGAGTTGGTCGTGGATGGGGTGGCAGGGGAATCTTCAGTCCGAGAGCTGGCGCAGTGGTTATCGATATCTGCGCGGCGGAAACCCCGGCGATTCGGACGACTTTTGGCAGCCTGATTCTTGGCAGACCCGGCGGACTGTCGTGTGGTCGTACTCGTTGACCGTTGATGGGGAACGATTTCCAGTGGGAGATGAGACCGCCGAGTTCATGGATGATCCGGCATCAAAAGGGTGGTGTGAGAAATACTGCGAAAGGGTCCAGAAGCCATACTTCACTCATCCTCAGGCGGGAGCACAGGAATTCTGGTTTCCTATCCTTCTAGCCACAATGGCCAGCATCAACGATAGTCCTCCGTCGTGCCAGCCCGCTTACCTGCATGGTCTCACCCGACGGGGATCCCTCCAAATTAGCAGACTATTCCACGATCACCGCACTTCGCAGTGCGTATGCGCGACTCTGTGCGACTCGAATGGCCGTTGGGCTGGCGTGCTGAGACTCAACGCTGCCTCTTCAGATTCCGATGAGTTTTACGGAGCAGCAGTCGGCGAGACGTGCGGGCTGGTCGAAATCTCGGCGGGATCTGCGGAGAATCAACCAAGAGAAGATGCTGGCTTTGATGGGTGGGAGGAAGCTGAGTTCGCGCGGCACAGGGGGGAGTACAAGTTTGTCAACGTCCTGTGGGTTGAGTGGAGAGACGTCGTGGCATACCGCAAGGCATTGGGGCGAGTCTGGGAAGTTGCGTGGGGAAGGGTTGCTTCAGATGGTGTGCAGATCACGCTTGGGTGACATGCGAGAACAGAGACACATCCAGCGTAACATTGTAGGCCATTTGGTACGACGAAAGAAGTACCCGCCGACATAGTCCTGGAAAAGTTACGGGCTGGTACGGCTACAGATGTAACTAAACTCGGTTAGTTGGCATGGTTGGTAGGCGCAGTCCGAATAACCTATTCACGCCCAGTACCTAATCAACCCTCACGCCGCCGAGTTGTTATTACAGGACGTAGTTCGTAATCGCCACCATCCGCATACTAAACTTCATGTGTCGTCATGATTCCAAGCTTCTCCAAGGACAGGCTCTGATACGAAAGCGATACGATGACCGTTTGACTTTCAAGACACGGATGGATTTCATGTCGACGAAAGTCGACCATGCCGGAAACTGGATACGACTGAACACTACTGACAGAGAGCGGCAAGTCTTCATTCCGATCATGTCGGCGGCAGACGAGGACATAGCGATGCCTCTCATATCGTCATTGGTCGGCGAAGCTCGCATTGTCGATTATTCAAATCGCCTGACTTTGGATGATGACGACAGGGGACATCATAAACATTGCCTTAATTGCTCAATCGTTCGATCCGTGGTCTGCCATGTGCTCCGTCTACACTTTGGTCGCTTCGATTTCTTGGACGCGATGAGTAGATCAATCGGCGTTGACGCGTCTTTCTTTTGCCGTGTCTTCGTCCTTCTTAGGAAAGGATTTTAAGAGAGACGTAGGTCACGATTCGATCATCAGGTATATCTCCCCCCGCGCAATCACTGAGATAATGTTCTTTTCCCATTGTAGATCATGGTGGTCGGGATCTCCAACGAAGATCATTTCTGCATCCTCGCCCACACCATGCTTAACGCCTGCGATTATCTGCCATAGCATCTGACAGTGTGGCGCGGCATCTCGGGCTCTCGCCTCAGAACAACGATCTCAACACAACCAGCACTCAACGACCTCACATGTAAAGAATGGTTCCGACCATACCTGGTGATGATATCGGCACTCAATCTGCTTTGGTCTACCTGCTTACTTGCATGGAATTCCAACCCCTCATTGCCTTTCTTCACTCTACGCCGTCGAAACCATTCTAGTCTACCAAATATACTGTTGAGGCATTGTTAAGACCTTGCCTTCACTCGTTTATACCAGTACTTCCTGTACTGCAGCGGCGGTAAAGTCTTGTACCTGCTCCTTATTGGGATCTGTCGCGAATTGTGGCGTGCAGCAACGGCCATACCAAATGAGTAGAAAGTGGCTTGAGCTTCCCAAAATGGAAGTCACGAAGTAAGTGTCTACTTACAGGACGAAGAAGAATGTGAGGTTCACGTGAGTTAGCACGCGGGTAATAATACATCTGCTGTTCTGTGTCAGGGTGCTCTACACCACGCTCAGTTTCTTCACGCGATTGTTTATCCTGTAGTTCGGCTCTGCGATTCCATTGTCAGCAATCTCCCAATTTCCTTCTTTCAGTCGGAGTTTAGTGGTTAGCCTGCGTAGCCGTCGTCGTGACCGCTCCGTTCCGGTAATACCCCCAGATTCAGACACATCGTCGACCATTTGCATAATTCATGAAGGGACGCGCCGAAAGTGGGCCCACTAGAGCAACGCCATGCATCTCGGTCCCACCCGCCTCACAACAAAAACATAAGACAACAAGAACACTATTCCATCGTCGGAAAATCTTCTTGCAGTGCTCTTCGCCAAAGAGCCCCGCTCTTATAGACGTACAGGAACTAAAGCGACAGCCCATCAAGCAGGTTTGTGCCTCATCATGTTTTGAGCCGGTCAAAGCAACTGAGTGTACCACAAAGCAAAAGCTTTCGTAATGGGACACCAGCTTCCTATTCAGCACTAAACAGCTACGCCTCTTAGGGAGCAACCGTGCCGCCCGTAGTAGTATACTCTAAATCTTGGCTGGTGCATTGGTCATATTTTTTGCGAGGCAACTCTGCGTAGTGCATCGCTTTCCGCGGGAGACCTATTTCCACAACCTGGCAAGATACTTTTCTCGTTCCATGGGACTTCTAGAATGTATCCCGTCGGCTTTCTAATGGAGGAGTTTACTATAGCGGAAAAGGATGCGGTCACGTTCGGACTTATCGTCAGTCTGTCACCCCGCTCTTTCAGAATGCACTTGCATGATGTGCGAGTCTGCTTTATGGAGTAGCCGATGGGATTATAAAGCCTTGTCCATATCGTTCTCACTATTGCAGTCTTACGTTTTCTAGCGCCTTTCCCAATAAGAACTTTTCCTGAAGCCCCACGTTGCGGGATACTAGGAAGCATCTAGATTCTTCTTGTTTTGGTCGCGTAATATTGTTGATCGACGACCGAACATTAGAAGAAGCTAGAAAATACTTGAGAAAGTTTATTGGGCTTTCGCTGGTATTGAATTTACAGGGTATTCGGGATTTTGGTTGAAATAGGAAAGGTTGGAGGACATATTGAGAACATATTACTACTAATCTTATGCGTTATTTGGGTTGGTGGCGCCGGGAAACCGAGGTTGAATTTTGAGCTGTGAAGCTATCTCGTCGGAAGTGCCTGCCGATTGCTACGAACCGTGGTGGATCTCATTCGCTTTGGGCAAAGGTTTCGTTAGGGGCATCCCTGGGGAGTGTCCACGCGCAACAGCACATAGACCTACGGAGGGCACCGAGGAACCCAATTGAGGATGATGGCCTTGACGTCGCCTCACGTGATGGATGAAATTTGGATGAAAGCTGGCATGTGCCTGCCTCCCGGCTTGGTCACGCACTGATCGAAGGGCTTGATCAAAACATTGTTAATGGAAGCCACCTTCAAATAAGTAAGTCATCCAAATTCTCCATGACGTAAATGGCAGTAGATCTTATCAAAAGGCCTCAGCAACATGGATCTTGCTCATAACTAGGTAAGTTAGCTGTTTGTAGACGTGGATCTACTTCTATAGTAGCTTATACCTCTACTCCGCATCACTACTCTGGGTAAGATGTTCAAGTCCGTGTTCGTGGGCGTGAAACAGTCGCAAAGTTCGAGCCAGCATGGGATTCAATACCACGTCCCGACATCTAGACACAGTCAAGTTCGGAATTTTCGGGTGCTTCAGTGACGACAGTGAAAGAGGTTTCTTTGCCTGTTGCTGACCTTTTGTCTCACAAGAAGGTGTGGTAGAAGCCCGAAGTACCGGCATGGTCAATTCATCCGAGGAAGCCGCCGAGATATTTATGTCGGACGAAAAATTGGGCTGGCCCGGACAATTCGGGCTGTCGAAATCATTGCGTGCTATCGGGGATGCGCTAGAAAAACAAGATCTCATTCAAGACATACACAAAAATATCTAAGACTCCTGGATTTTGCTCGAAAGCCGCGACCGTGATATGAGCTCAGCAAAAAGGGTTATCGTAGAGCCAGTCATGCTGCTCAAATGAGAAGGACGACGGAAGGGCGAGACGTGAGCTCGTGGTTGAAACGCTCTACCTGCTGCCTTTGCTTGCAACTCAGTAGTTTTACGGGCTAGAGCCTCTGCGATACACGATATCAACAAAGCTACAAGTCGGACACTTGTAGTTGTGTATCTTTTGTCCATCTCAAAGTTGAGCCATATGGCCCATTTGGGCAGGTGTGCTTGTTGCCGCTATTACTCGCACATATGCGGGCCAATCTTCACAAAGCCCACACTGTTGACCACGGAACTGCTCAACTTTAAGAGCGAGAAAAGGGAAAAGCCAAGAAATGAGCTATCAAGTGCTTCAGTCTAGCGGACCATCACCAGCAGTAATGCTGGGCTGCCGCCGGGATTTCGGCTCCTCTGGTAGTCCGTACCTCCATGGCGTGGTCTGTCGATGGTAATTACTTAAAGGGCGATGATGAAAAGTTTTTTTCAAGGGCATTTTGAAACCGCAGCTCAACGAAACCTTTCAATCTCTCAAGCTAACTTTTTACAACATTTCATTCCAACTTGGTCAATACTTAGAATTCGCAATGGGTCGCTATTGCTTTTCTCTGATCCTGTCTTTGACATGGTTTCTTACCACTACAAAGGTGCATGCCGCCACGGACCTGAAAGATTGTCTTTTAGAGTCTGTTGGCGGCGAAACCGAGAGGGCCAAATTCTCGAATGAAGCTGGTTTCCAGGCCGATCATATTCGGCTATACAACCTTAATTTTCAATACGTGCCATTTGCCATCCTTTACCCTAATAGTCCCTTGGAGGTTGCGAGCATTGTTGTTTGTGCTTCTCAATACGATCGCAAGGTGCAAGCTAGAAGTGGAGGACACGACTACACGAACAAAGGTCAGCTCCTTTGTTACTAAAGTTTTTGACCAGACAAGTGTACTGACTACTGACCCAGGGATTGGTGGCAATGATGGAGCTATCGTAGTTGACGTAAAGAATCTCAACCATGTTCAGCTCGGCCCCGATGGCATTGCGAAAGTGGGTTCGGGAAACAGACTGAAAGATGTCTGCGAGAAGCTTCACGCCAACGGAAAGAGATGGATGCCTCACGGATCGTCTCCCACTGTTGGAATCGGCGGCCACGCTACCGTCGGTGGCCTTGGACTGCATAGCCGCCTTCTTGGTACTTCGCTCGACGTGATGGTTGCCGCAGAAATTGTCCTGGAAGATGGTACTATTGCAACTGTATCTGAATCACATCGTCCAGAGGTTTTCTGGGCTTTAAGGGGAGCGGGTGCGAGCTTTGGAATCGTCACCAGCTTCTGGTTCAGGACTCAGCCTGAACCTGACGCGGTTGTTAACTTCATCTTCACCGTTACATCTTCAGAACCGACGAAGCTCTCGGATGCATTCAAGGCCTACCACCAGATTACTACCAATCGATCCCTTGATCCGCGCTTGTCCTCTGTCGCAATCATCTCTAAGGACACCCTGCAAATCAGTGGCGTCTATTTTGGCACGGAATCGGAGTACAGCAAGGTCAACTTCAGCAGATTGATCAAAGGAATAACAGAGCAGAATACTGTTACCAACTTGACATGGATGGAGCACATGAACAGGACCTTCGACACTATCTCCAACATATTCCCCGCGCAGTCATATTTTTATGCTAAGGACACAGCCGTTGCCTACTCGACGTTGCCCAGCAACGACACCATCGACGCCGTCTTTGAACATCTTCAGGGCACCGACTCGGGATCAAAGAGCTGGTTCGTTTTGGTCGATCTCTACGGAGGTGCCGTTAACAATGTTGCGCCCGGTCTGACGGCGTTCCCGCATCGGAATCTGGCGTACTTCTTTGCAGTCTATGCTCAGACTGAGTCCACCACTCCGACTATCACATACGACTTCGTCGACAATGCTGTTCTCAAGTATCAGAGAAACGAGCCTCAAAAGTACCTGTCCTACGCAGGATACACCAACCTGAGGATCAAGGGAATCCCGCAGCAAAAGTATTGGGGTGACAACCTTCCAAGACTGGAGAAGATCAAGGGCGCCGTTGACCCAGGAGACCTTTTCTCAACGCCTCAGAGCATCAAACCACGAGCTTAGCTGAAGGAATTGTGGCTCTTAGACCGACCTTTGGAACATCGGCGGCGTAACGTTCGTCACTGTCAGTGTTACGGTGCGCAGACAACTTCACTGTCGAGATATCAAACTAAATCCTAATGTTGAATATATCTACTGTACGGCCTTGTGGTGACTTCGTGAAACCAGGAAGAATATATAGTAGACTCACTTTAGCTCATTGCTTCATAACTTCCTCACGAGATTGCAAGGACCTTAAGGCCACGATGATGCCCACATGAATTGAAAGGTCTGAAAGAGGACATCCCTAGGCGAAAGTTTCGGAAAATTCCACCCTCCTACTCATCAAAATCGATTCCTCTATCGACGAGGATCCCGTAACTGCTATTGAACTCCTCCAGAAGGAGCATAAAATATTCACTATCGATACGATCATCGCTAGGGCAGGCATCTCACACATCAGCGCCCCGATCCGCGACATCTCCTCCACTACGGCGCTAGACCATGTCAAGATCAATTCCGTTGCGCCACTTCTCTTGTTCAGTGCACCTGCCCCGCTTTAGATGAAAAGCAAGAAACCGATGTTCGTTGCTGTGTCCTCGGTGATCGGAAGCCTCAGTATGCAGGATAGCCTGGCCCAATCGTTCCCGCCGAGGGTAAGCACTAGCCAGTACGGAGCGAGCAAGGCAATGCTCATCTAGGTTGTGAAGAGGCTGAGCATTGAGGAACCATGGCTCACAGCGCTTGTCCTCAATCCTGGTTTGGTCGAGATAGATATGTCTGCCGAGCTAACCAAGAATATCGGAACGCCTGATGTTAAGTGTATGGGAGCCATTGCGGTCAAGGAAAGTGTTGCAGGAATGGCCTGTATCATTGATCACGCTACGAAGGTCGTTAGTGGAAGGTTTAAAAACTTTGATGGTGTTGACCTGTCTTGGTGATCATTCAATAACCAACGCTGCTCGTCACGGAATGAAGGATTAAGCGCGAAGAGAATACATACTATGTCGCTTGTGGTTTAATAGCGAAATCAGATGCTTATGGACGCCAGGAAAGATCGAGGTCTTATTACTGTTCTCATGGGACGGCCTATGTCTAAAATTAATTTGCCCTATTGTTCCCGACACTCTAAGAAGGGCTTCAGACTTTGCACTTCGCCACGTCTGTGTCAAAGTCTCTGTCTCATTATGTCGCTCTTGGAAGGAAATCCTCGGCTGTGGCAGTTTGGAAGATGGCATCATGGATGACAGACCAAACACTCGTGCTAGGGCTGAGCACAGTGATCGTTTGAACCTCCGTCCACTATCATCAAAAGACACTCTGCTAGCCACGGAAATACACAACACCAGAATGACCAGTTAGAGTTCTGTGCTGCAATGAGAAAGTCTTCGGAGGCGAGTTTCAGGTACTTTGTATTCAAGCAGCAAGAAAACCTGCTATGCAACATGGACAACTTGAGATATCTATATACACTGTGGTAAAGTTTGGTCGTAAATAAACCCTAAATTGTACATGTACCCGAGAGCTTTGAAAATGCCGACTTATATAAGGTACCCGCTAAAGCCTTCTAGTGAGATGCAGACCCGTGCGTTGTGTTTGACCCCGTGAAGTCACCTGGAAGGGCAGTAAACATGAGATCGCTGGTCAAGTCCGTAACGCGGCCAAGAAGCTGTTCTAGGAGACGATATCCGGCTCCTTGAGCGTATTGAGGGAGTTCTATGAAGCCGAAGGTTAGTACATTTTTGGTAGGGTTCGTCTTGGCTGACTTGGTTACTGACCGTGTCCGGCATTGAAAACACGAGCGAAGGTGAGGCCACGTTGTGCAACCCAATCACCAATCTTTCCAGCCGCACTCTGGGAAGATAGGTCGCTGTAGGCTGTAGGGAGGAAGAAGGTCTTGGACGGGAACTCATCGAAGCCTTGCTGTCCGTTCCAAGTCATGTTCTGAAGCACCATGAGCGTACCATTGGTAGGCACACGGAAGTCAAGGTTGCCACTGGCGATTATGAAGTTGTTTGTATGCTCAATGACGCGGGTCAGAGCGCCGGAGGCGAAGGGGTCAAGACTAACATCGCCAGTAGGACCAAACGGGTTCTCATCGGAGCACTTCTTCCAGTCTCTCTGCCCGGTGGGAATGTGGATGGCCTTGCGCATCTCCGGAAGGTTGAGGTAGGAGTGCCAGTCTGCCTTGTCAAAGCTGAGGGGTACAGAGGCGTTGTCACCCTCGGCGGCCCAACTGAGGGGATCCGATGGATTGGGGCAGCCCTGAGAGATGTGGTAGATATTAGCACAAGGGCTAACTTCCGCGAGACCTTCGTAGACAATAGACGAGATTGCGCAGTCATCGCTGTTGTTTCCGGGTGGGAAAGGACCCTTCGGAGGGAAGGTGAAGTATTTCTCGCGCATATCGGCGTAGCCGCATTCTTTGTCGGCAGCACTGATCCGGTCGTAATAGTTGCCAACGCCAGGATACAGGCCCATGACATTGTTGTACTCCTCGACGAAGGGCAAGGAAACCGCATGCTGTTGGAAGTCACCAGGATCAGATCTGATGTACGGGCTAAACATCAGGGCACCGGAGAGGTTGTAGTCGGCAGACTGGTTGGACTTGATCATGGCGTCACCAATGTAGGGGATGTAGTGGCCAGCATAGCTTTCGCCAGTGAGATGAGTCTTGCGGCCCTTGGTTCCGAAGGTCTCCATCCAGTTGTGGTAGAAGCCGAGGAACTGCTGGGCGGTCTCCTCCTCCGTATTGACTCCAGGTTTACCGACTGAGAAGCCAGTGCCAGCGGGCTGGTCGACGTAGAGCACATTTGAGAGCTGGGACCAGCTGAAAATGTTGTAAACCGGACGGTAAGCTGAAGGGAACCAGGTGAAAGGTCCGTTCTCCTGGACCAGTCCGATGAAAGAACTGCATCCCGGGCCTCCATTCAACCTTGCAGAGGAGTCATTATGCGACTAGGTCCAAGGAAATGTCTCCTGGGGTTCGAGGAAACTCACCAAATGGTGACCTCCTCAGATGCATCTGGATTGGTGCTAGGGAAGTACCTGTTGGAATGAGTGTTAATATTGTAAGATAGATGGCGACTTAGACAGGTATATATACTTACCAGAAGAAGAGTTGACGAGTCTCGTTGGATGCTTTCGAGATCGGGATTTGGCCAGCATATGATTCGCCCAGATCCCAGTCAACCAGTGGAATAGACGTGCCATTCACAAGGTACTCTTTGTAATATCAGCCTACGGAAGGGGGAAGTCGAGGTTGGGTGGGCATACTCTCAGTCTTATCATTCAGGTATTGGTACTTCTCGGTGTTTTGACGACGCTCAAGATGGCGGCGTACAGGCAACCGCTTAGCCTCCGCAAGTTTCTTGACCGGGTTGAAGCCATCGACTCGCCAAGAATCGGCCAAGACGGTGGTGCAAGGCAACAATGCCAGCAACAGGTGACGGATGGACATCGCGGAAACCATGGTGACACAAAGTTGGTGGGCTGAATAAGGTTGACCAGAACCTCTTTCAGAGGAGGGTTGAACCGATCTTGATAAACACCTCAGATTGGCATTGACACGGGCCAATGGCTTTGGACGATGAGCTACCGACAGCACTGCAACATCGGCTACCAAAGGTTCCTCAAACCATATATTTCAGTTTGCCCAATGCACAGCAAGAAGCTTAGCTACTAGGATAACGTTTGGCTTCCGCAAGCTAAGCTTCTCGTAATCCGAGCCGATGACTGTCTTACCATGTTAGATAAGGAATCGATTGCTGGCACGGTACGCATGGATGAATCATAGGCGACTCTTCTCGCTGAAACTCAAACGCAATCAACCCTAATCTATCGTCGATATGCCCCTGAATGCTAAGCTTTCCAAGAGGAATTGGGCTAGGAAACCCTCCTCAATTAAACTCATCGGTAGGTTATCCCGTGGAACCACTCTAGCATCTCAATCGCAAGACAAACGGAAACTCCAAACAACCCTACATCCGGATCATCCGGTGAGAGTGCGATATGTTGAAGGACCGAGGACGGGCATGATTAATAAAACCTTAACCGTCTATACGAGCCGAGTCGAACTTTCCGTTGGGCGATCCATTGGGGCCGATCTAGGGACACCCTCTGAGATCCGAAACTGACTTGACCACCCGTGCATGGGGTTTGGACGACGAACGTCGACTGAAGATGATTTAAGCTTGATGAATATGGGATGAACATTCCATCCCGCTTGCCAAGAACGATCGGATGTGGTGCATTGTTCAACTTTCCGACGCAACCGATTACGGCAGCTTGGCTTCGACTTTCTTGGTATGTGCGGATTGAGGTACTTAGGGTGCCGGTTTCCGGCGGCCCGTAATTTCCGGGAAAACTGAAGATCATGTCGCTGTAAAGCTTGCTGAGCAGCGCTATGGCTCAATCAGGAATGTGCTTTGGTGATTTGATTTCGATAAGTGAGCATGTTAATCACCGCTGCCATTCTTGCCTTAGAGAGCAAGTTTATTTCCAGCCTGAACGTTGTCATGTGCATCGGTAATAGTCTCATTTTGCTGGCTTTTCTTCCAAAATTTGATTACCAAATTGGGCAACCTTCTGCATCCTTCTCGCAGTTTTTATTGTTTATGATGAGCTTCGTAGAAGAGTTCATGTCTTCTTGCTGTATGGCGGTAGATTATTTTGCCAACATCTATTATTTCGCAATTCCATTTATCCCGTCTCTGTTTGTTCCACGTCGTAGCGCGATTCTCGGTTTGGGGATTGCACGCTCGCTTGCTCTCCGCTGGACCGAGCAGAGCTCACGATAAAGGCTCATATTACATTTGTATCTGTCTTAGTTGATCATGGCTAGCGCATGTCGTCGTTTATGCATCCCATGCCTCATTCGTGGTCCTTCATCCAGTCCATCAATTCCTGCCAGTTCACGCACTGATGTTCAGTACCGAACCCCGTTACACCGCCCACCGCAGGGTCGCCAACCTCCACAGTCAGGTCAGGTCTGCAAAGAATGGACTGGCGGACAAGGTCCAAAC